CTGTGTGATTTAAAATCTTATTATTATAAACCTTGGCCAGAGGGCCTTCCGACTAACAAAGGAGTCACAGAACTGAAAGCATTAATAAGCCCAGAACAGGCAGAGATAAAAGACAGCTTCTGCTATGAGAATCAGAAGAAGAGAGGAAGAAATAAGACAAGAAGGCAAAATGTATAATTGTCTCAGCTTTTCCTTGGGGAAGCGAGAATTCCCCTCCATTGTTCAAGGTAAGATTGACCTGCAAGCTTTTGATGAGAAATCCAAAGTACTGGGAGGTAGCTGTGGGCCAGCTGAGGAAAGACAAGGACACTGAAGATCATTTGGGTTTGAATTACTGGAAGCAGCTGCTGTAGACCATGCAGACAGACCTCCCTTTGGAAGGACAGACAAACATACACACAGTCTAGTAGGCTGAGGGAAGCTGAATATTTTGTCACATTTCTGGAGTTTGCACAAACCATTGGTACTAGCTGCCCAGCAGCAGAAGCTGCAGCAGTGAATGATTCAGCAATGGTCTGTACAACTAGAAGTACAAATTACTGAAGAGTGTGTGTTTGCAGGTGAGGAGCTGGGCCTTCCTCCATTAGCCACCCAAAGCACAAAGGCAATTTTTTTTTTTAATTTTATTTTTTAATTTTGTAGATTTAGGCATCTGGGTTGGGTTTTGTTTCAGCTGACATTAGACCTCCTCACTGGAGCTAAGTTCCCTTTAGAGTCAGCAGAGAGAAGCATCTCCTCAGACATGGCTAGGTTAAATGACTCTTGTCCTGCAAGGTTTCTTTTTGTCTGCTGACTGTAGAGGGAGCCTCACAGAGAAGAAATCTTTAGAAAAATAGACTAAAATATATCAGAAAATTTAACATTAGAAAATATCAGTTTGAATAACCAGACCACTTAAAACATTCAGGTTATATCTGCATTGGTAAAATGAAGAGGGCCAAGACGCGGGCGTATCCATACTGCCTCATTGTTTTGTCCCTTGTGAGCTAGCTAGGCCTGACGCTTATATTTACTAGCATAAATGGAGCCTAGGGACCAAAGACACCTACGAGGACCAGTCATGACATGCATGTGATGAGACAGAGGGATGATTAGTGTGCAGGTACATTCCTCCCTCCCACCTCAAGAGTGACAGAGGAGCACAGAACCGAAGGAGAAGGGTATAGTTCAGGGCAGATGTGGTGTGTTTGCAACAGATGTAGACTGCCTTACATGAGGCAAGAGAGATGCAGAGCATTGAAAAATACTCATATGGAGTGCCGTGAGGCAACCTGCTTTGCCCACGTAGCGTGCCAAGAAGAAAGCGCAGGGTGTAGAGGTACGAGGCAGGCGACCGGGGGCACCTGTGAGCAGAAAAGTTATACAATGTTTTGGCTTCTGTTCTGCTGTAATACAAACAAGAACAGGACAACAATGGGTGCATGTTACTATCCAAATAGATCGTGAAGAAATGCCAATAACAATTAAAATGAACCCTGAAAACAAATAATGGAGAAATATAGCCCTTCTCCTGTCTGTGACATGGCATGATTCAATGGGACTTGCTGTCTGGGCAGGACATACACTCCATACATCAGGTAAATGTGATATTAAATATCAGTAAAAGGAAAAGGTTTGTATAATATTACATGCATGCAAACAAAACCAGTACTGGCAATGAGAGCCTTAAAAGCATTCAACTTGATAAAAATCCTAATGGTGATAGAGCCATGAAAGGACGCTTTGTATACTGAATATATTCAGTAAGCACTCCCGGAAGTGTCTGAAAGCAAAGCTTCATTCTGCAGCATCCCAATAGACCTTCAGTCTACAAATTCAGTGTCAGGAGTGCATGTGCTGGAGGATTGGCAAACCCAGTAAGGCCAGAAACAGGCACAGAACTTCATTATTTTGCACATTTGGCTATAATGGAAAAAGAAAAGAAGCCACAGGAACAGCTTTTTGATTAGCTATGATCCGAACAGGAGGAGAAACTCCTGGCATAATCAAAGCCAACTGTAGCCACCTGACAGAGGCAAAAACGCTAACAGAAACCTGCGATATCGAGTAAGTCCGTTGCAGTAGACAGTCAGTGCAGGTACGGACATACTTGGGCTGCAGTGCATCATTTTCACCTCTCCTGTTGGGCAATAGCATTTCAAGGGATTTGACACATTATCTGCACAGGTGATACTTTAGGGAAAGGTGCGTGAAATGTTAGAAGAGTGAGAGGAACTGAAATCTTGTCAATGACGCTCATGAAAAATAAAAACTGTTCTATTCATATGATGCAGCTGGCATAACCTGAAACTGGTTCACAGCAATGGCAAGGCAGAGTACAGATGATATATATCATGTTTTAGAAAAGAGAAACATCACAATTGAACCAAAAAGAAAAATAACAAAAATACCAAGTCAGGTGACCTTCTTAGATAAAAGGCACTTGGGTTGTCACGTCCCTTTGAAATGACTATGATGAAAGGAGAAAAATAACATATCCATAAGAAACTGCATTCAAGGATTCCAAATACGGTTTAGAAAGAACGTCTTAATCTGGTAAAATGGGAAAGGAAAGCCTGAATTTGAAAGCCCCGATAGAAGAGATGAGTGATGACTTCTGCATTTGTGATGAGTACCAGAAACAGAACTGCAGGGAAACTCTGACAGATGTGACAATGTGCGTGTAGCATCTAGCCAGGCCTTATGACCAACACAAACAGTGTTATCGTTATGGCTGTATCAATAAGACCATGAGAATGCTCATGTCCGTTGAAGGAAAAGACTAAATCCCAAGTTGTAAACTCCAGAGCTTTGGTCCAAGGGCAGACATGCCTTTGATACCTAACCCAGGATCAGGGATTCCTGTATTTCCAAAGAACCTAGTAGGTGTTCCTGCCTCAGCTATTCCCAGCTCACTGAAGAGACCTTGTGAAATTATCCCCCTTGTCACTGCGGTTAGAGAACCTGATGTATTGTGTTTCGCTTCTAGGAAAACACAGGGCAGATTCTTTTCGACAAGAATTTCAAATTTTATTTGAGGATTTGATTTGGCTCTTGTCTGGGTCCAAGCCAAGTGGCATTTTTTTCCACAAGATTTTAAACTTTAAAAACTCTTTTTTGGATTATATACTGTCTATCCCATAAAATGAAACGCCTGTCATCCTGTCAACAAGGCTTCTGGAAAAATGAGTGATTACTGAGATCACTTTGTTCTGGTTAATTCTAGCCCAGTTAGATTTCGGGGTGGGGTGGGGTGGGTGACGTTATGTCTGTCTTACATTCTTTGTTCCTGTACTACGTGTTCTGAGTTGGAAATGTAGATCAAACAATCATTTTGACAGGCAGGCAGGTGGTACTATTACATTGACAGTACTGTATCTATCACGGTTAATGTTCTCTCATTGAAATAACTACATTTTTCCTTGCTGGTCAAGGTTTATATAGCAGCAGAGCACGTCTCCATCCATATTTCAAAACAATGTCCTGTCTTATGATTACTGTCTTGTCCCTGTGGTGGCTTATGGACTAGAATATTGATATTTGCTGCATTTAATTCTGTGCATAATAATGAAACAATGGGCTGTAATGTACTTCAAAAAGAATCTAAAGGAAGTTATTCTGGCACACCTGCCACATGATTGATGGAGTTATCTGTCAAAAAACATTTGAGGTGCCCTGGAGATGCCCGTTTGAGATGCCCATGTGGAACTGGCTGATAAGACACAAGACCTACAAGAGGCCTGTGGCCTTCTGGATTAGCAGGTGATGGCCAGGTGGGATAGATACCCAAGGGCATCTCCAACAGCATCAGACTCCTATCTGTGGGTAACTTAATAAGCCAGGGTGAACACAGTCACTGGGATCTGGAGAACGGCTCATCTCAACCTAGACTAGCTTTTGGTTTGCTGAATGACTCTCCAGACTAATACTCCATCTAGTATTATTTGGCATGTCCTGTGGTATCTGAGACATCTGTGTGGGCAGGCAGACATGACACAGGACCCATGAGAGACCAAAGACTTTCTAGAGTGGGGATGCTGTAGGCATGTCAAATAGCACTAAATATCTGACCTGTGGACAACTGAACCAATCTCCTAAATTTTGCTCTTGCTGTAATGACTTAAGACTTAATGACTCACCTCGGTTACCCTTGGACACAACATATAGGGGCCTACAAAAAGGAACTGAATATTACCCTGTGTGTTGACTTACAGTATTCACTATGTGGCAGAGGAGAAAAATACCAAACAATGAGTTGCAGGAAAGCTGTTCAGATTAATCATTCAGATTAATTTTCCTTTTGCTTAACAAAAAAATAACGTGAATTTAAAAATAACATTTGGTTCTTCTTTTGGACAGCTTTTTAAGAATAAGCCATATGGCACTGAATGACAATTTAAAAAAAAGAAATTATAGTCTTGCTTTTAAACTCTGAATCCAACGAAATTATAAGAGGTACTTTCAGATGAGGGTGAAGCTTTGCAAATTAAAGAAGAAATAAGAATACTTCCGAATTTGAGCTTTGTGTAAAATAATTTAAAAAAAAAAGGTGGCTGAATCATCAGCCCTAAGGAGTGAGTATTTTATGAACCACCCCAAAGGGGAGTTTATAGAAGTTCTAAAATACTTGTTACCATTTATTTATGTCCTTATCTGACCAGGTGCCCTAGCTGTGCTTGTTGTGTGATTTGTTCTTAATTTATGTGTTTTGACTGCTCCTAGGCTTATAATTTGTGAATAGCAGTAAAACTGAGCAAACTGTATGGCTGTCATTCATGTATTTTGGCCTGCTACCTTAGAATGTTGAGCACTCCTGTAGGAATAGAAATTTGAAGTACATTCAGCATCTGATAGGATGGCAATCAATACTTCACACACCTTTTGTAATTGATGAATATTTCTCCTGGAAAGAAAGGATATTATTTAGCACACTATGTTAGTAAAATATTTCAGCTTTTACTAACAGTGACTGAAGCTGCTGAAGACTTTCAAAGCGATCCTCAGAGAGGTGAGAAAGTGGATTGAAAGACAGATTGCTAAAAGAAAGATAAACTGTTCCTTATTTTATTTCAGGAAAAAGACAAGCTAAATTACTGCATTTTTACATTCAGTTGGGAATTCTCATTTATATCTTGCAGTTTTTGTAAATACTTCAGGTCTATAAAAATATAAGGTCGTAATTTTGTAATCATGTTGCTGGACAGATCCCTTGGAGAAACAGAGAACAAAAGCAATCAGGTTCATCCTTCGTATTCCACCCATTCCTTTCAATACAAACTTTAAGAACTCTAAGACTCAGATTTTCTCTTTTTATAGGTGAGGAAGCATGCTATCTTACTTAAAATTTTAATAGCAGCAAAATTGTCTTTTATCATTACTTCAGTTCATCCAATACTTCCTTGCTCTGATTTTATCCGTAAGTCACTTTGAAGCCAGTCGGTACAGGCACTGATGTTTGGCGATTGCTAAACATGGATCATTTTAGCTCTGATTCATCATAACTAATTCAGCTGAGGTACCTAATTTGGAAACCTGGTTGCCTGAGGGTCTCTCTATAATTTATGAACTTAATCATTGCTGAGAGGTGAGATGAATCAAAGCCTAATTACATAGATGTGAAGCTTTCACATTTAATATAGGTAGAACATGGAAAAACAAAGAAAAAAAAACATTAAAAAAAATCCCACAGTAAATTCAACACCGAAGATCGGTATTAGTGAATGGGTTTTCACCATGCCAGCAAATCAGTGTCTTTAACAAATAACATCAGTTGCTACTCTCCTTCCACAGCCAGTAGCAGCCTGTTTCAATCACTCATGTCACTCCAGTCACTGACAGCTCCCCTTCTCCTTCAAGCTTTCCCTTCTCTTTTCCGCTTCTACAGCTTCTGCAGCTGTTTTATGTTTCTGCCTAAACATTTTATGCCAGATAATGAGGCAACCAAAACCCAGATGCAGTGTGACTACTTTATATGCAGATGAGCCTAATGCATACATGCTTATCCCCGGGGGAAGTGGCAGTCTCGGATCTTAAAGTAGGTGCCTCAGTTCCCCAGACAGCTACTGGGAGAGCTGGTTCACCTCCAAAGCACAGAGATGCCGCCTTAGATATCTTTCTATAGACTGTACAGGGAATATAGATACCCTCAGTGTGTGAGCTAAAGCAACTGAAAAATGTAGTATTGGCTCCAGAGGACGCAGGTGGAGCTGGGCACTCGTATGCCCAGAAGGGAGGGAGCCCAACGGTCACTGGAGCAGAGGGAGACCTTGATTTTCAGCCCGTACAGCTATCTCTGTTGTAAACCCCAGAAAGCCTTGGAATAAGTTTCCTCCCTCCCCGTGATGCTGCCCTAAGCACTACCCGCAGCTCCCTCTTGCCGGCTATCTTTCTGTCCTTCTGCCTTTGATTCTGCATGGCCTCCTGCCTCACCTTTGGCAGGAAAGGTGCAGTACACTCACAGATTACAGGCATGTAATAGCTCACACTCTATAATTTAAAAAATAGATTTTAGAAAGCTCACAATTCCCCCAAATCTTTTAATGAGGAAAAGGTATTTGCAGGCAGCAAGTGAATTTGACTTCCGTGAAGAAACCTGTAAAGTAAAATATGTATTAGAATAAGTACTTAGTGATTCAATTTAATATGGAGTGCTAATTTCATGTTTCAGTATGACTACTTGGCTTTTTATTTTTCTAGTTGTGTTAGAAGTTACATACATTAATTTTTCCAAGCCGTAACAAGGTGTATTATTGTAGTCAGTGCAAAAGAAACCTACGCAAGACTAAGTAGTTAGCTAAGGAAAACTTTCCTTAGTTTTAATTAAAACCAAGCGATTTACAAAGTAGAGGAGCAATGTGGAATTTTATTTGATTAAAGGCTGTGGGATTTGCTATCCAACAGAAATTTTACATGTTCAAATTTAGCTTTTTTTGCTTTTGCTCTTACTGCGATTAATACAGTCCCACTGCAGGGAATTCCTGTTCCTCACTGGTAAGACACCACATGTATAACACCAAGGAGCATTTTATATTTCTTAACCTGTAGAATTTTTTCTTCATGAACATGGTCCTCCTTCAGATTCTGCTTTTCCTGTCCTCTGTATTATATGAGAGATAGCTGAATATAAAAAAGTTAGAAATGTGAGTTATTACTGTACACCAATATATTTAATTTTAGCAGCAGCACAATTTTTTTGCTTGGGTTCCCTGCAAGGCGAAAACCCAGTCTGAAGGAGGAATGGATTCACCAAGAAAAAATATCTGCGGGCTGAGATACAGGCATACTGTATTGTTTCTGCTTCATGATCAGATCGCAAGTCCCAGGATGTAGTGGAGTTTAAAAAGCACCCTGGTGCTCATGATCTGATCACAAGGCAGAAATAATACAGTATGCCTATTTCTTACTCTGTTTGTTGAAACAAGTGATCGTGACGATTGCGAAAATGTGCCGTGTGACTGCACGTACAAGAAGTCAATTAATTGTAAAGAATACCTCCTTGACAAAAGCACAACTGTCCTGATGAGGCTTTATCCATTGAGACAAATCCTGTGTTGAGGACTGTGAGTCACACATATTCAAAAGGTTTCTGTTGCTTTATTTTCATACATCTTTTACTTACAATACAGTGAGCGCATCGCATTCCGGGAAGGTGGTATTAGTTAAGGCCTTAATATGATTGCTTTCAAAATCCCTGAATAACAATAGGGAAAGTGGTTTTATTCATGACTTGTGTAATAGTTTTGCAGGAGGGAGTTTAAGCTCTGGGCTAGTCTTCTTTGTTTTGACCTTCATTTATTTATTTCTTACAAAATTTATCCCAGTTTATTACCTAGTTTTGAATATGAATGTACATACCAAACAAAGCAAATTATATCCTTTTCTTTGTTGTGATTTTGTCTCTATTTATGGCCCAGCTCGACAGCCATTTCAGCAATAATAGGCTAATACATTGGTGTTTCTTATGTGTAATCTGTGTACCAGAATCCGTAGAGACCACTAGGTGGAGATTTTACATTTGATTATAATGTATATCTATATATCTTAAGTTACGCTTAGGATAAACACGCATTCACAATAACTGATTTCATTTTCATTGGGGAACTAAAGTGAAAGATAGAATTTTGCTAAACTCATGACAGCCATGAGAACAAGAAGCTCTAAAGATTTATGTTGGCAGAGGACTGTGGTATTTTGTAGACAGTCTGATATCTGCCCGGGAAATTGTTCAAGTCATTTGAAACACCATGAGGTTCAACTTTGGCAAGGTTATAATTTTTGTTAGAATGTCACACCTTTAAAAGTGCCTTGGTCTAACAGAATAAACAAAAGATGATTTTTTTATCTGCACAGAAAAAGATATATTCATTTATCAAGTGATTTTTTTTGCATAATTAATTTATACCCAGTTAGTAAGAGGCATTTGAGTACAGATCATGGGAAGAGTCTCAAGTGAATTGTTTATCATTGATCTTCATACATTAAAACATGTTTAGAAAACAAGATGTTTTATTATACTTCATAACACAATATGTAAGTGTAAGAAAAATATGCAAATGTAAACTTTTGAGAGAAGAATCCAAGATTAGATTTAGTTACATTGCTTTGAAATTTAAGGTAAATTTAGATTTTACAGAAACTACACAAGTAAAAAGATTTTTTAAGTTACTGGTAGCAAAACATAGCACAAAAGTTATTTTTTGGTACTAGCTTATTACTGTATTTTATTTATAAGCAATGGATACATTGAATGACCAAGAAACATGCTAAGTTGAACAACTCAGACAAAAAAAAATGTTCATTAAACAATTTACATTCTCAGTACAGGTAATGTACGTTGTCCACACATGCTATGATGTTCCTCAGACTCCTTCCCATGGGAGCTGGTAAGGTGGAAAGGTATTTCAGCTCCCGCCCCATCCGCTGCATCAGTGCTCACTCTGTGGAGCCTGGTCTAAAGGCTACTGGTGCCGGCTCTGATGCCAGTAGCTGCCTCCCACAAGCTTGGCTGAGACAGTTGAGTCAAGGGATCATTAAAGACACAAAGTTTTTAATCTTCTTTGCCCTGAGCCAAGGGACTAGTAGCAAAAAATTTTCTGCTAGGAAAACTAAGTAATTTGTTTCCCTGGATACTATTAAAAACAGCTGCTAGCTTTTCCAAGAAACCAAGATTATACTTTTCAGTTGCTGGTTTGCTTGATGAGGGTGATGGAAAATGCTTATAGGACTTCACGTCTCCTTCCCGCTTACTGTAAGCTCTGCCTTATATGGAATTTTCTGTTATAGTCATCACAGTGATATCTGCCTGGGAAATTGTTCAAGTACCTAAATACTGTTTCAGTTTTCTAAAAGGAGATGCTAGGTGTCTGCTGGTTATATCCAAGAATTTCCAATTTAGATCATGAGTTTCCTCTAGGTGTTCTGAGAAGAGAGATATGATTCTGAACAGCTTTACAACTTCGGGAATGTGCTTTAGTTTTAACAGAAACATAGTAAAGATAGTCATAGCATGAAGACGCCTATGAGAAATCCAAATCCAAATTTGGATCCAGACATGGTAAGTATGGGGAGGTGACAAGCGTGATTCCTTCATGAAGAAGATGTTTGAAAGTCTTAAAGAAAGAAAACAACTTGGAGGAAAAACAAAAAGATAGAAAGGAAAGCTACTCGGATATTGAACAATACCAATACGAAAATGTGCAAGAGCAATACTTACCACAAAACCAAAGACTTTAGCCCAGTAAATAACTGCTGTGAAATTTTCACTGTTGGGTTATAATCTAGAATTATGGAAAGAAATAATAGTTTACTACATCATCAATCCTTGTAAAGAAACAATATAAAAATGGCTGAGATGAGCAAATCGTGAGGGAGCTTTTCCTCTGCAAATCCAAAATAACTAGACCTAGTTATTGTCTCCAGAAATTGAAACATAACCTGTGTGATAAGGAGTTGCAAGCTTCAGTAGTCATTCCAAATTTTTTGTGCGGAATGTCATTTGCAGACATAGCTTTACTGCCTTGTTCCTTTCTTTTTAGATCAATGCCGTAAACACACGCACTGCCAGTGATGAATGGTACTTTTACAGACAGGGAGAAAATGAGTACTCACAGCCATTTCAGTTTGTGTAATCTCTGAGTACCCCGGGTTTCAAACTAATGATACATTTATGACTGAGATACCTGTTGACGAAAACATATAACACAGAAAACTAAAATAACACTACCTAAAACCTGATAGACTATTTCTAAAGGGAGGAAGCAGAAACCTTTCAGACAGCTGATGAGAACAACCAGAAAGATAAAGAACTGTGACAAACAATATTTGATTTTAAATTGTCAAGTGAAAGTATTTCATGTGTTTAGTCTGGAGAAGAGGAGGCTGAGGGGAGACCTCACCGCTCTCTACAACTACCTGAAAGGAGGTTGTAGCGAGGGGGGTGTTGGTCTCTTCTCCCAAGTAACTAGCGATAGGACGAGAGGAAATGGCCTCAAGTTGCGCCAGGGGAGGTTTAGATTGGATGTGAGGAAAAATTTCTTTACTGAAAGAGTGGTTAAACATTGGAAGAGGCTGCCCAGGGAAGGGGTTGAGTCCCCATCCCTGGAGGTATTTAAAAGACGTGTAGATGTGGCACTTAGGGACACGGGTTAGTGGGCACGGTGGTGTTGGGTTGATGGCTGGACTCGATGATCTTAGAGGTCTTTTCCAACCTTAATGATTCTATGATTCTATTTTAATGTTTCTATCTCATAAAAGGCTGTCTGTTACTGCAAGGGCAGTAGCATTTGACTTAATCTTTTTTAATGTTTTATAGTTGGAATGATGCTGACTAAAGCATTAAAAATGTACTTTTATGAACAGCTTTGCACTGCACTGGGATGGATCTGTTTTGCTATGATGCAATGGACAACTTTTGCCTAGGTGTTATACATACACTTTTTAGACCAAGGTAGACATAGTAAAAATGCTTTGCATTTATATACAGTAATCTATCAAAATGTCAATACCTGTAGCTTGTTGTTCAAAACTTGATAAGGAACCGGAAAGATTAGCCTGATTTTTAAAGGCATGGAGCTTCTATCAGCTGTTGGAAGTGGTAGGGATACCCAGGTACCTAATAATGCTGGAAATACTGACATTTGAAAAATTTGGCCAATATGGTTTGTGAATGTCAACTAATGAGGCAGTGTCAGATATACATAGCAAATCAAGTTTATAATGGGTTGATAACGATACAAAAAGAAGTTTAGCGATTTGTCTTTGCCCCAGTGTGCAATTAGAGTCACAGCAAGAGTTGAAATTCAGGAAGTTCCCACATCTTTCTCGAGCTACTGGAATATGCAGAAGAGTAGTTGTATGAGACTTTGAAGGGCTGAAATTTAGATGCCATTCCTGTATTGTGGAAGGCTGGCTGCTCTGTGATACCCAAGAGGCAATCAGTTACTTAAAAAAGCAAAATAGGGCAATAATGTACTCACAATTTCCAAAGTTTGCATAGTCCAAAGAATGCTTTCCTTGATACTGTCTGAATGCAAATGTGCTGTAGAAGTCTGGTACAGGTAAGGTAAGAAAGCCAGGATAATCATGATTCATTAACTTCTTAGAAATGCAAATGTTTTATAATCCTCATATTTATCCCCTTCTGCCATTTTAAACACACTGCTAAATTAATGCCTGGTGTAACACCACTGAAGTAAGATTCAATATTTTCCACCAGAACAGAACTTTCTAATGACTTCTTCGAGGCTGTTCTGTATGTGTCTGTCTCCAGGGTGTGTCATGTCCCATTTATTGATTATGCTTTTGGAATAGAAGATTGTAGGGTATAAAAAATAAGATACAAAATAGAAGCACTGGAGGCTGGGGAGAAAAGCCAATACTGTTCCAGGCTACAGGTATATTATTTTGAATTTTATTAAATGTGAACCATCACTAGCCATCCTTCTTGGCACACTTACGCTAACATACATTGCACCTGCTGATGCAACTCAGCTGGAAATTAGTGGCATGTATATTTTGTTTATATAAAATTGGTTCTAGAACTCTGCCCACTCTTCAAATGATACAGCCTTTTCACATGACTGTTGTTCTTGCAGGCTGTTAACTGCTTTTGGATGGAAGGCAGTTTGAGCTGTCGTTAGGAACTGCCGAATAAAAGGCACACAGCATCCAGTCAGAAACAAGAGCTAAACTCAAATACTGTGTACTTAGGGGTTTTATGAGGATTTATCTTAAGCCTGGTATATGTGTGCTCACATATGATTCTATGATTC